GAGAAAAAAAGGGGGGGCAATAATAATAATAATAATAAACAAAACTGAAAGTTAAAATAAATAAGAAGTTTATTTAAAAAAATAAGATTATAACTCATTTCAATTAATTTGAATCCATTAACTTCAATTATTGACAAGAACATATTAGAATTATTGATTATATTATTATAGGACAATTATTGATAAAAACAAGTTAATATAAAAATTATTAATTATTTTAGTATAGGACAATTATTAACAAGAACGTATTTATAAACAAAAAATATAGATGATATTTATTTTAACAAGAATAGATTATAAATCATTCCAGTTAATTTTCCTACTTTAAAAAAACTATAGATTATGAGTATAATCAAAATATTATGTTGTGATTATCTTTTAATACTTCGTTTAATAGTATTTTAAAGGGATATATTATTGACAAGAACATATTAATTGAATTGACTATTTATAATTAAAGTATAATTAATATCTTTTAATTCAATTTTATCATAAAATAATAAAATATAATTCGTTAAGATCGTAAAAATAAATTTGTTAATCGTAAGATTTAAATCGATTAAGTTCAAGTTTTTTTCAATTCATAAGCTTTATTCAAATATTTGAATTGATTATGTTCAACTATTGACAATGACGTATTAATCAAATTAACTATTTACAATTTAAGTAATATCATTTTAATTGAATTTTATTATAAAAAATAATAAAATTTAATTTGTAAAAAATCATAAGAACCAAATTGTAGATTGTAAAATTTTATTAATTTGTTTACATTTACATTTTATTCAAATATTTAAATCGATTAAGCTCTAGTCCTTTCAATTTCTTTTTCTTTATTTTAATTTTTTATTATATAAATTTTTTTCAATAATTTAATTAAAATTATTTAATAATAATGAATATGCTAATTAATAATTTATTTAACATTATTTATTATAATTATTTTACACTTTTTATTTATCGTATATATAGTGTTGCTAGCTACTGTATGAATATTTGCTATGTCACAGTGGTAAGAGTTGCTATTTGTTTTTAAACAACCCGCGTTCGACCCTCAGCCATGTCATTTTTCGAATTAAAAATAAAAAATCTGCCATGGATCCTGCCCGAAACCGTTATGACCCGCTCCGGACCGGACCGGATCTGCCTCCCCGCGTGGGTTGTGGTTTCGTGGGCCACAAAACTCGGGCCAACTATTAAATTTGGAAGCAACACCCTATTAAGGGTATAAATGGTATAATCTTTTATAAATAATAAAAAAATGATAGCAATGTCCATTTATAAATATGCTGTATAAACATATATTAGGTTTTATTTATATATAATTTGTTTTTAATATATTTCCATACAAATATATTCAAAATAAAATATTATTATCAACTATTGATTACAAATTTGTAATTGATCATTAAATTATATAAATAATTAAAGAAGCAAAAGTAATTGGAAATTCGCCATTCAAACGTGTTTCTAATTTTTTTAACGATTGCAAAATAGTACATAAGATATCCGGCAGGTGTCCTCAAGTGTTGAACACGAGACGTGTCCAAAACACGAATAAATTGAAAAGTTGAAGTTTCCGTGCTACATAGTATTTTTGGAAAAACTACAGTTTTCATCCCTAAAGTTTTCACTGATTTCACATTTGGTCCTTTATGTTCACAAAAAACACATTTAGTCCCTCATCTTTCAAAAATCCAACATTTTTAGTCATTTTCGTCAGTTTTCGTTAAAACTAACGGAACCAAGCGTGTCCACATCACTGTTTTAACTCTTAACTGACGGACTAACGGTAAATTCACGGAAATGACCAAAATTGATAAATTATTAAAACAAGAAGGACCAAATGTGTTATTTTGTAAACATGAGGATCAAATGTAAAATCTGTACAAACTTAAAGGATGAAAACTGTAATTTCCCCTAGTATTTTTCTATCAAATCAGTTAGACCTCTCAATATGGGCTTTTGTTGAGCTAGAGTCCATTGCATGTTGGGCCAATTTCAGTATTTTTAATTACTCCTTTTAAACATATCAATTAAATATTATTTATTGGCAATAATTAAAATAATTAGGAATTAGGATATTAAGGAGTGTCACACGTGATAACTATCTCTTCCATTATATATTTTTCTTTCTAGGTATAATAACTGTAACATACTTTATCTCATCAAATAATTTCCAAGTAATCCAAATGCAAGATACAAAACTCTATCCAAATTGGCCTAATCGTGTCACGAGCTTATCTCCATCGTCAATGATTGGTCAAACTAATGTAATAGGAAATAAATATACTCTCTTTATTTTCTTCCTCATTTTGTTATTATTACAACATCTTAGAAATTAGTTCTAAGATTATGATTTGGAAATTATTTGAATCAAAACAATGATGAACCAATCCTCCATTTAGATCTTAAATTATTGTTTTTTTTTATAGAGATCTTAAATTATTGTTAATTTAAAAAATAAAAAAAAATACTCATGTTACATCTATGTAGCACGGACACAACGAAACGGAGTAGAGGTTGGACATTAGAATGCAGAGAAAATATGTAAATATAAAAAATATAAGGGTATATTCATAATTTCTAAAAAAAATTATAACATTTAGGGTAAATTTCAAACACCCCCCTGAGGTATGGTCAAATTACAAAACCCCCCTCTTGTTTGGATAATTACATCTACCCCCTCAACTATGATTTTTTCTTAGACCTCCACCTTTATGGTGTCAAATTCAACATAGTCATCTAGATTCCGTGAAATGTGCTCTAATTTGTACTCTTTTTGTGTAAAAAATACAGTTTCCGATGCACCACAAACTTATATATACAAGCTAAAAATCACATATTATGATCATCTTGCTTCATAATGTAGAGTTTGAATGGGATAAAACGGGTACAAAAGTGATAATATTCCATATAATCTCGAAGATTCCACTAAATTTGATGAGTTGAGGGGGTGGTTGTAATTATCCAAACAAGAGGGGTGTTTTTATAATTTGACCATACCTAAGGGGGATGTTTGTAATTTACCCTAACATTTAACTTATATAAGTATCGTTGATTAGTTACATATTTGCAGCTGCAAATTATATACAATTGACAAGTTTCAAACCAAACTATTATTCCTCAAATTACATTTGCGGCATATAAATTTATTTTAGTATCGAATTAACATTTATAGAAAAAATATTAAAACACCACTAAAAGTGAAAAAAAAATATTAAAACCTAAGATTTAAGTTTTTTTTCATAAGTGTAGGCAATTCCAAGTTTTTCATTATTACCAAAACCGACCCAAATTTTCTCAATATTTATAAAAACGACCCCAAAACATTTTCGACGAGTTTCGATTGTCGAAACATGTCCTAATCTACTGCAAATAAAATGCTTCCATTTTTTTATTGCACACAAGGAAAATCAATAATTAAAAAAATATATAAATTGGATAGTAGTAGTGTACTTTCCAGTATTCCCAACGGACACGTCTCTTCTTCTCTCACCGTCACCGTTTATATACCCCGTTCCGTTCCGTTCCGTTTTCATTTCATTTCATTTCTACTGTAATAAATAATTCTCCATATTAACACCCGTTTTCCAGCTCTCTCAAACATGTCTCAATTGAGTACTAACTCTCCTGCTTACGGTACAACCACCTACTCCAGCATTCTCATTAAGCCCGTGAATATTTCTCTAATTTTTCGTTTTTTTTTTTTTACTTCGAATGATAGCGTCTGAAATTGGGTGGAAAAATCGAGGTATCTGAATCTGGATTTTTGTTGTTTCGCGATTGATTGTTTGTTGCAGATATGAGCTTCGGAAGAAAGGACTACGAGTTTCTCAAGGAGATCGGGCTCGGGCCGCAGAATTTGGGCTGTTTTGTTAATGGTGTTTGGCTGGGTAATGGGCCCGTCGTTTCTTCTGTGAATCCTGCTGATAATCAGGTTTTGCTTCTTAATTTGGCTTTTTTAGCTCAATTTAAGTTTTCAGGCATGATCATGCATATAGATTATATACACATGTGTGTGTGTGTGTGTGTGTGTGTGTGTGTGTGTGTGTGTGTGTGTGTGTGTGTGTGTGTGTGTGTGTTTTCGAGTGTGCGGAATCTTTGGTGCATGATGAGATATATCAAATGCATGAAGATAACTATTACTGAATTGTTGTAAATTGATCTTAATTTCTCTATTTTTCATTTCAAATCTTTGTTGCATGACTTGTGATTGTGAAAATGACTGTTGAAAGTGATTGGATGCTATGTGTTTATTTTTTATTCCCAGTTTTATTTTTGTATCTACATAATTAAAAATAAAATAATAATCTCCTTGTGGGGTTTATTTATGTAGGTAATTGCTGAAGTTGCAGAAGCATCTATTCAAGATTACGAAAAGGGTATGCAAGCGTGCGCGCAAGCCTCGAAGCTATGGATGCAGGTGTTCCGTTAATTCAAACTCGTAAAAGATTTGATTGGTCGATTCAAATTCTGTCGGAATTTGCAATTCTGATGTTTTGTTTTTGTTTTGTTCAGATTCCAGCACCGAAGAGAGGTGAGATTGTACGACAAATTGGCGATGCACTGAGGACAAAACTCCACCCCCTCGGTCGGCTTGTTTCCCTTGAAATGGGAAAGATACTCGCCGAAGGAATCGGGGAAGTTCAGGTATATTGATTGTCATCCTCTAATATAATGTTAATATCATTTAGTATTTAATTGACATTGAATAAATCAGCTACTGAAAAAGAAGGTCGTGAATGTTGATCTTCTACATGGATCGGGCTAATTCTTGAAAGACGATATGAAAGTATGAGCATCGAATCTGAATTATTTACTGTGTGATTCTAGCCATGTTTTTTTTTTTTTTTTTAACTTTATGGTAATTATTGAATGACAATGACAAAGGGCTTAATCAACATGCTGGTGGATGTGTCGGGAGTTTCACGTCGAAATCTAGGTTAATCTAAAGGTTTTATAGAAAAGCGTGTAAGAACTCGTTGCCATGTCAGAGATGGATTGCCATTTGTCAAGAAGCTGACGTGCTTTCCGTTTAGTCTTTCTGACCGATTTATCCTCACCAAACTGATTTTGTCGTCATGTCATTCATGGCGTCACAAAAGATTAAAACATAACGAGACGAAAAAGAATAAAGAATAAAAGCATAACAAGACGAAAAATGGAAAACAGTTACGATCGGGTCGTAATCTATTTGATACTTTCTGATTTGGCTGATTTCTAGAAATGCTTGAAGTCAATTGTTGTCGCTCACGGTTTTTAGATTCTCATCCTATCTTCTAACTTTACGGTTTCTGTTGGGACCATTTTATATTTAATTAATACTTCGGAAGACATTGCAATATGAGCAATGCCGGTTGACAATATTGAAAGCCACAACTTAATGGAAATCTAGTACGCATTTCATCGCCCACATTCACTTTTAAGGATTCGTCATTATATTTATATGAACTTTCATGATATCCGACATTTGTTGATGCTTCTCTCATGTCAGACCATTGGTTGTGCAGGAGATAATTGATATGTGTGACTTTGCTGTGGGATTGAGTCGTCAACTGAATGGGCAAGTCATACCTTCAGAACCGTAAGCTAATTATGCTCTCGTTCCCTCAATTTCACATTTGAAATTGATGCATTTTACTTTATTATAAATAATCTATTCATAGATCATCTGTGTAATTTTGTTTCTTCTGTTTAATGAAACAGGCCCGAACCATATGATGTTAGAGGTACGCTAGATATTACTGCTTTCATTACCGGAGCTACAATTTTTTCATCTAAAATAACTTGCGATTCCTAATCTCGTTACATGCTATCAATGAACAGATGTGGAATCCTTTAGGGGTAGTTGGTGTAATAACAGCTTTCAACTTCCCTTGCGCCGTTCTTGGTGAGTAATTGGACTTATTAGAACAATATACTTTATGGCCTCGTTTGGTTGGGGAGATTAGCCACGATTAACTAAATAATTGGACTTTGTTTGATGTTTGTTATCCCCAATAATTTACCGGGTCGACCCGGAAGTATTATACTATCATGTCTTATCTTGCATTATCTTGCCTTTTAGGGAGCTTTTTTGTTGGATGTCCGACGGTCCGATAAAATAATTGGATTTTCATTAGATTAATTAATCTTATCTTGGCTGCTAATCCTATTTTGGCAACCAAAAGTGGCCTATATGTTTAAAATAAAATATATTTGTTTGGTGTGTCTATGCAGGATGGAATGCATGCATTGCTCTAGTTTGTGGAAATTCTGTCGTCTGGTATTCCTTTGATCTGCTGTGCTTACGTTTAGTTTATTCTTTTTTTCTTTTCTTTTTTTTCTCGGGTATTTGAATCTGGGTTCTGAATATATACAAAATTTCAGGAAGGGTGCTCCGACGACACCTTTGATTACTATAGCCATGACGAAGATTGTGGCTGGGGTATTAGAGAGGAACAATTTACCAGGTGCAATTTTCACCGCCTTTTGTGGCGGAGCCGAAATTGGTCAAGCTATCGCAAATGATTCACGCATTCCTCTAGTTTCCTTCACTGGGAGTTCAAAGGTACTGTGCGAGGTTTTGATTTTTCGATAAATCCGAGGAAAAAAAAAACTTTGTCCAAATCTTATTTCTAACTGAATTATGGATCAATGACATTAATCATTTTTTTTTTATATTTAAGGTGGGACTAATGGTCCAACAAACAGTGAACCAAAGGTACGGAAAATGCCTTTTGGAATTAAGTGGAAATAATGCTATAATAGTGATGGATGATGCCGACATTGAACTTGCTGTTCGCTCCGTTCTGTTTGCTGCTGTCGGTACAGCTGGCCAGCGCTGCACGACATGTCGGAGACTGGTATTACGAGATATCTTGGATTATCCCATTTATTTTCGGCAATAGAATCTTACAATTGGAATCTAATTTTTTTTTGTTTTTGAATGGTCTTGTCCTGGAAATGAATGAAGCTTCTCCATGAGAGTGTTTATCAGAAAGTAGTTGAGAGATTAGTTGATGTATACAAACAAGTCAAGATTGGAAACCCGTTGGAGAAGGGCGTCTTACTCGGTCCGCTGCATACACGTGCTTCGAAGGAAAACTTTGTGAATGGCTTAGAGAAAATCAAGTTTCAGGTCTGTAGCATCTCTTGCTCGGTTTTTATTCGTATTTTGATAAATATTTATAATTTTATTATTATTTGTTTACCTACTTGGCTAGGTTGCTTATTTAAATCCGTAACTCGTCGAGTGTAGAGTGCATTTGGATCGATGGATTTGAATTTGGGGATAGATTTTAAATGACATGCATTGCTGCGAACGAAAATAAACTAAAATTAAAATTGAAGAATATTAACCAGGTGAGTTATTGCAGGGAGGAAAGATTCTCATTGGTGGCAATGTTATAGAGTCTAACGGCAATTTCGTACAGCCCACCGTAGTTGAAATATCTGCTAATGCTGATGTTGTTAAGGAAGAATTGTTTGGTCCAGTTCTCTATGTCATGAAGTTTCAGGTGACACACATGAGCCCATACTCGACTCCTGCTCGCTCTTGTCTGAATATTTTTATTTA